GTCCAAAAAAATGTCAGCTCAGCTTTTGAATCAGATGCCGCTGGTCTTGTCTCCATAGCGACGGACCTGATCAACAACCTGCTGCAGGTGAAGTTGAGAAAGCGCTACAGTGTGGACAAGTCCCTCAGTCACCCGTGGCTGCAGGTAAGCCACAAGCTAAAAGGCAAAAAAAACGGACTCGCGCTATCCGGATCGAGTCAGACAAGCGTCCGGTCCTCTAGGACTTTGACACCTGGAAGGACCTTCGCGACTTGGAGACGCGACACGGCGACCGTTACATCACGCACCAGAGCGACGACGCGCACTGGGAAGATTTGGGTGGCGACAGAAGCCGGCAACGCGCAACCATACCTTCCCTGGATCGTCAAGACAAGGAGGACCAGCAGGACTCCTAGCCCTCAAGACGGGTTTCTCAAACATTTGCAATCCGGGGAGACGTTTTTGCAAGGAGCACCCCCAGAATCCGAACTCAGATGCAACATACTTGCCATGCGCAGCCCTAAATACCATTTGGGAATTAAAAAGAAGAAAAAAAATACAGCAGTGTTCATTGACTAGCAACCAGTCCATTGTTTGTCTGTATATTTGAGTAGCGACCAGTCCCACGATAGCCACCTCTCATCCTAATGAAGGTAACACGTCACTCTTATTCTTCGGATTCTTATTTGAATATGTTCCGGTTCGGGTTGGGTCAGGCGAAGCTGATCTCGGTGAAGCCGGCGACAGGCGGCTGCGCCGGCGCCTTCTTCTCCAGTTTGAGCCCGGTGGCCATCTTGGGCCGTGCCAGCCGGCTGGGGTGCAGCAAGCCGAAGAACAGGAAGCGTTCGCCCATCTTTGCGCCGTCCGTCATCGTCTCGTAGCTGCGTAGCAGCTGCTCCCTGTCCGACTGGTTGCTGTTCCTCAGCAACACCTGGGTAAGAAAAACGGAACGTCATCACGCATGAGAAAAGTCGCTGGAGGATTTATTCCATATCCTACTAGCGCGCACATCTTCACATCTGCACTATTTTCACTCGTAAGACATTTCAGATGTTTTTTTTCACTGCGCTCTGACATTGCTCCAGATCCTCTGGGCTGCACTAGTAGAACAACTGCATGTTATTCGAGAGTCAAATCCATCCACTAGTTGACATCTACATGCTACTGTTTCGTCAATTGGCAAATTTGCACAAAGCAACATTTGTCGTGTGCCTTTATCTCCAATCATTTTCAAG